CATGGAAATTTGGAATTTTTTGCCTCTAATCCTAGGGGAAAAAAAAAGATTCTTTTTAGCTCTATAATGATGGAGATACTCTTTTCAACTTAGAAAATCTGGTCATGAAGGCCACATCATTAGGGAAGAAACAGAAATACAGTTTACTCACAGGTCAAATAAACTTACTTGAATTCTATAGTATAGGAATATCAAAAAGTAAGACAACCACCAAGCTAAATTATACAGGTCATTTACTTTTATGAAAGCAAGAGTAAAAATAAATGCTTCAAACAGTAATACTTACTGATGCTGTTTAAGATGTAAGAATAAATAAATTACCATAGGATGCTTGTCACTATAGTGTAGAGTTCTTCCACCCCATTCCATTCAACTGCCTCATACAAAAACATTCAAAAGAAACTGATACTAACAGAGACACATTGCTATAAAATAGACCAAACCCAAAGGACAACTAAACAAGCAAAAGCAGCATGGTCATCATTCATGTAACCAGGACAAAAACTAAAGTCTGTAAAACTATGCCAAACCCAGTAGCATTAAACCTAAGCTGTCACAATAATTTCTAAGTGGTTGATTGCCTCTGAATTTGAAAATTATTCTACTTCTCTGGGTTGTTTCACACATTTTAGTCTGTGTCAGGCAGCAATCTGATCATTAGAGGTCTCCTCTTCAATTACTCCAAATTATCTCCAACTTCTAATCAGCTATCAAATACATTTTCTCAACTGAAATTTTTCTTCCCTACCCTACTACTGATGTAAAAATAGCTACTTTTGCTTGCACTTTTCTCTCATAACATCCTCACTTCCTTACTCTTTCTACTGAGCCATCAAAATACTCCTAGCTTTGTTACTAATTTAAGATCTAGAATGTCTGTTTTTTGATCAGCTTTCAGCTTGTATTCATCTTTCTCGTGCCTGTGACCACCTGTCCCACTTTAGTCCTTTTGCAAAACGAGGAAGGGGAGGGCATTCACTTGTTGGGTGGGCATGTTTTTTCTTATTGCTGGTCCCTTCCCAAAAGCCTGCCTATCTCTTTTAGAAGACTTTCTCAGCTCTCACAGACAGAAATCAGTTACTGCTCCTTTATTGTAAGGGCTATCTAGCTGTTCAAACTACACACACAAACTCAATCCTAATTTGCCTTGACTAACACCTTTCTCTTAGTAGTCTCCCCATTCAACCATTAGAAATTATGACCTGACAACTCCTTGCAGTAAGTCATCCAGCAAAGGTCAGATAGTCTTGCTGACAGAAATGCTGTCAGCTGTCACAGTACTTGAAACATAAAATTCCCCTTCAAAATTTCCCCTTTACAGCTGTGTTCTAACAGGCTTAATATATAGCAGCATATAGGGCTTCTACTGGGTAAAAAGAAAAAGAAACTCGTATGAATGAATGAATGAAATGCACACTAATCTATATGAAACAAGCAAATAACTGATTTCCTCACAAAGAGCTGAGAAGTCTTTGATTTATCATTTAAACTATGCATAAGCAATGCAGCTCTCTATGCTATAGTGTGAGGCACTAAGTGTTCATAGCCATGCAGCCATACTAAACTATTAAGCAGAACAGTACTTACAAAATATTTGCCTAGACTCTTTGTGAAAGAACACTGCATACTGTCCTTAGATCCATGAAGGCTTCTAAACACAGCTGAAGCTTTTATCCTTGTTTCCTTTCTCTCAATACTCCTCCCCAGGTGTGTCAAGCCATCAACCTTCATTAAGTCACCCTCAGTACATGATTCTTTAATTAGCTTTATCAATATTAATCCAGAAAGAGATAATTAGAAAACCAGAAAATATCTGCACTGCTTGTAAACAAACTCATTATCTGTTTATCAGATGTATTTTGTATTATTTCTCTAATGTAGGATGTATATGCCTTGGGGCAAGGATCACAGCTCCCACTATTTTTTGTACATCATGTTTATACTTAGGTCCTTCCTTCACTCCACGCTCCACTCCATTTCATTATGCTGCCAGTTGAAAGATTTTTTTTTTATTCATTCAAAACAAAGAAGTGTATGTGATATAAACTTTTTTCAGTAAAAATGGAAACTGGAAGTTTTCTGCAGTTTTCTACTAATCATACAAAAACATGCATCAGAAAATCCAAAAATAATCAAGTCCAAAAACCAGAACAGATTCTGATGATTGCTCTGAAAGACATTTGCTGCTTTTATAAATAGTATTTGATTTGCACTCTGAACATTTTGCCCATTATGTTTGACTTGGCAAAACACCTTTTACTCCTACAGGATACAATGCCTACAATTTTTGTCAATGTTTTCATAGATTTTTTTATTCATAACCTAATGATTTAATTTTGAACATTTGATTTAATTATTTTAATTTGTTAGTGCTATGAGTAAGAAGAAAAAACATGATTCTTAAATAAGCTAAATGTGGCAACCTGAGGTTTATTATAAAGCAAAATAGACCCAGCTGTTTAATTCTTGCAAAAAGTAACTATATACAGCCCTGAATTCCTCATAAAATGTAACATCTGGTCTCCATTGCACCATAAATACCAGACTCTTTCACCTATCCTGGTATATGTATCTGTTTCAGTTTGTTTCTGGTATTGTTCTGAAGGGAGTTACCAATTTCTGTTGGTAAAACTGCCCTTAATATAGTTAAGACCAGCATGCTTCCAAGGAGAAACACCCTGATTTATACTTCACTTAAATACTTAACTTTTGTGCCTTCAGTGTAACAGAAATTCATGCTGGATTTGTCAAGCAGGAATCTTTTTGATACATCCATTACATCTTTGAGGATAAAAATAGTAATTCTCAGGCTAATTAATCTCTGATAAAATTCCATTAACTTCAGAAAAATTATTGCAATGATTTTTTATATATTTGAATTAAAATAAGTTGAACAGAATTTAGGAATCTTCTCCATTATGAGAGAGAAACAAACAAAATATAATTACAACTGAAGGGGAGGCTGTAATGGTGGACATTTAAGGTGGACAACATCAGAACTCCTCTTTTCCAAAGCAACTTTAATGCTTCCTAATTTTCCTGTGATCATTTCTGAAAATACTGTTTTACTGAATAATTCCACTTTCATGGTTCTTGAGGAAGTTGAAATAAATACCACTAAGAAATAATGAGTTTATTTCAAAGCAAACTCCTTATTCACAGTATCTTATTTTTGGTTGTTCAGTCCCAGCGTTGCAGCATCCCTAGCTGCTTCCATAGATTTCCCAATGGGCAACTTATTCACTGGGAGTTCTCTCTTTCCTGGCTTTTGTTTGTGGGGAAAACAGGCAATTGTCCTTAGACAGTAAGTGAAGGATCTGGGTGGCAGCAAGTGGTCACAGATCTAAGTATGAGAATATCTGATAGCAGAAATGGTTTCATCTTACTTATTTCCCATAGCAGGTGATCTTTATCATGTGTTCTTTGAAACTATTTTTCCAAGTCCTTTAAAGATCTTCTCTTTGTGCAAGTTAACCCCCTTACAAGTTTCTGTATTTGCTAGCTTTTAAGTTTCTCTTTCCTAAATAATAAGGAATTGATGATGGCCACCAAGGTAAACGTAGAAAGGTAAAAAGCAGCTGGTGGAGAGGATGTGAATTAGAGTGCACTGGTTAATCTGAACCTCCTCTTAACTCCCTATCCAGTATGCTCTTGTTACCATAAGGAGCAAAATCTAATAAGCAGAAACCTTTATTTCAGCCTAACCCCACCAATGTAAATTGTTTTTATTAGGAAGCATAGAAGTTTTCTGGACATACTGTTCTAGAAACATTCAATTAAAAAAATTATTATAATAATATGTTACATTGGATTTCATTCCTCTCATTAGTGTTTAAATATGCAGATTTCTTAAAGGATGGATAGTCTTGTTTCCACTTAGTTCTGCTTGTAAGCAATGAATCCAGTGACAAATCAGAAGACACAGCTTGCAAAGGACCTGGGAAAGCAGAGATTTTCAGCTAAACAGTGTAGTTGTATTTAAAAGCACGACTGAGTGGGGTGAACACTTTATCAAAATTTCAGATGTATCTGTGAGTAAGATTTTGCAGAAAGGGGAGTGTAGCTGAACAGTATTTGTTTACTGTGTGTTTCTCAACCATATAGATTACTCAAAGGAAAATACACATAAAGCCCCAAATGGCTAAAATTAATGCCTGCACTGCAAGTGCACCATTGTAAATTGGATTGACTATAAAATAAATAATGATGACGGCTATTTTTACTATGTATGATTTATGCCACTGTTCATCATATGGCATTACACAAAAATGCACAATTAGAGATCCCAGCAGCAGCTCTACGCGTTTCAGCTGTCTGCCAAATGTCATGTTATGCTATCATTTTAATTTAATAATTCTGAAGCAAGAGAGGAAGATGCTCAACTTCGTTTTTATCAATGTGGAAATCTAAGGCTAAGGAGAAAGCCTTTTTTTCTAAATCAGTCCCTACATTTTGTTGTCTTTTAGCAGCAAATACTTGGCCTGAATTTTATATACCTATTTCCAGCTGAAGGAGTTCTAAGTAAGTAGCTTCTCTCTGTACAAGCATGGACATGAATTTGATGAATATTTATAGGGAGCAGAGATAAAAATTACTTTTTCTAGTTTTTAGGGTCTCTATTATCCCTTTAGGTTCTCTTTTTGCAGGAATGTTTGCATATACAGCCTTCCACATATACATGCCACTACACCTTGCTCTTCTTATGCAATGTACAAAGGATCACTCAAAAGCATATAGTACTCATAATTGTAGCATTATGCAAAAAATTCCAAGAAAAGTTTGTTATAAGCTATAGATCTAACTCAATACCTTATCAAAGAGCAAGGACCTGCCTATTTGCATTTGTTTTCTATTTAAACAAGCTCATTTTTTCATATTGGTTTCAATAGGCAGATAATACTCTAAATGGACATCTCATAAAATATTCACTTTAATAAAATCTAAAGCCTGATTATTTATTACATGGATTGTTACATTTAATGACAACTAATATTTTATACCTTCTCATGAACCTTTTGCCCTGGCTCCATTCCTTCAATATGCTCTGATTCAGCAGACCCTTCCCCAGCTGCCATTTTCCTTTGAATGTGTGCATTTTGTTCACGCAAAGCTACAATCTGCAAAAGAAAGAAAATAAGTGGTAAATACATACAATAAACCAGAAAAATACTGAGCAGGCAATTAAAAAAACTATAAAGAATTCAGTCCTACACTGGCCATTTGAAGTATTTGCAAAATTAGGTCACTATATGCAGAGAGGTTTAAAACCCAGACATACTAATGATATCTTAAGGCCATTAAGAATACAAAGGAACAAATGACATGATAGTCAACGCTGTCTTGTCTTCATTCCTGATTTTGTGGTAGGACACATTTTTTAGCTTGAAAGATGAAGCAGCAGTTAGCCATTGATTTTTTTAACACTGTAAGAACAACTTACTCTTTCACATGGAATTTAATGAATGCCAAACTTGTGCTATAGGAAAACAGTACCAAGAGGCTATGAATCAAACCCAAGTGATGTAAAACAGAGTGCTAGTTTCTGTCAGCCTCCCATCTGTTAGTAACAGCAACATACATTGTACATGGTTTTTGTTGAGAAAAGCATGTACATTAACACCCTCTACTATTCATTGGTTGTTTCAGCACATATACAAGTAGATTTGTTGTATTTCAAATATTGCTTATTTATTGGTAATGCTACTAAAATTTCCATGCAGCTACTGGAAAATAAGCTGCTTTCTCTCTGACTTTGTGGCTAACTCTCAGGCAATACACCGCCTAGAAAGATTTAGGTCCTAATATTTTTTTACATTGTATACTATGATAAGCTGGAAGATATGGATTATATGAACAATTTATTTGGTTAAATTGCACAATTAGATATCTCTGTATTTTTCTGCTTTTATGAGCACATACGGTAAATTATTTACCTGATGAATAACATTATGTATTAAACACAGTAGAACACTGGTAAGATGCATAGATGCCATTTTTGGAAAGCTAGTGTAAGTTTTAAGGCTTCTGTCACCATATTTTGTCTGCATAGGTCCTGAGTCAGAAACACCCTAAAAGACTGTCCTGTCCTAGAACACAAAAGCATGGGGTAGGAGGAAGAATTTTAGGTAGTACTACCTGGTAAGAGTGTGCAGTAGCCAAGATTTTGTGGAAAATTTATTAAATTAAATTAAATTAAATTAAATTTAGTTCTAATTGACATTAAGATAAACTTACTTTGATGTGAATAATTTAAATTTCAAGCTTTTCTTTTCAAATGTATTTAAGTTATATTTAAGTGCTTATTTTAATGACCATTTGAATCACACTGACCAACATTTGAGATGTAAGAGCACCATTTTAAACAATTCTTCTTTAATATAAATGTTGAAGATTGCTGTAATATGAGACTCTGATGAGCAGGCTGATCCACTGCTCATTAAAATTTCCAAGTTACAGCCCCTGTAGAAGTCATAGTCCCACTGATTTCAGTGCCAAGACCAAGACTTGAAGGCAACATTTCATCCAAGCAATTATAGGAAACTACAAGACTTGGAATTTAAACGGTCTGAGACAATCTGCGTCTTTGGGGACAGTAGAAATACACTGAACTTAAAAACATTTTGCTTAAATAAAGGAATTACATCTGTCTCAAGTAACAGGAAAAGGACTGGTATAATCTCATTAGCATAATCTTGCTTTTTACACAATCAGTAATTTAATATTTGTATTAGCTTTGTGATTAGCTTTTGTTGATAATATTTGTGAGTAGTTTCACTCACTTCTTTTGCTTTATGGTTCAAACAGTTCTCAAATCAAAACTACTGAAATTATGGCTTCCACCAAACAAAATTAGCCATCAATTAGTGCTAAAAGATATTTTCACATAGACTGAGACACTTCAACACACATATTATAAAATTCTGATTGATGTAGAGCAACTACACATAATATGAAAGAATGTAAAATCATAGGATATAATAATTGACAGGCAACAATATATTTGTATTTTTCATATGATAATATTTTGTTGATCCATTAAAAAGCAGACATCACTATGCCTTCATTTTGAATTATTACCTGTATCTACACAAATCCTTAACAGCCCTTTAGCTGAATAAATACTCTTTAAACACTAGTGCAAAACGTTGTCATTTAATCGCGTATTCAAAAGAGTTTAATTTTTCTTAGCCTCTACGGGTCTTCAGGTACCAGCACTTCCCAAGTAAATAAATAAATAAGAGAAAAATCAATTGTCCCTTTTAGATGACAGGCAAATAAAATAATGCAATATTGAGTATCATTATTTAGGGAGGTTTTCTTGATTTTTTTAATGTTTGAAAACAATCACTTTGTCAAAAATCCATCATAGTTAAACATTACAGTTTTGATAATTGTATTACTGTAATGAATGCAGACGAAATATATACAGGAATAAAAGAGTTTGAAGTCTGGCACATTGCAGAAGTTTCAGCTCTTGGGTAGTCATCAGATAACAGATACTGTGAAGAACCACACAGCTAAATTGTTTTCATACTTGTTCTATTCTTGATTTAATGAATGTATTAAAGCCCAGTTAGTGCTCCTAAGGAAGCATGGAAATTCTTCAGTGTCTTACAAGTATTTTTGCTTTTTACTTTGTTGAAGCAAAAGTTTTAATGCCTATCATACTCCTTTTTATTACTTACTTTTTTTCTGATTTATCTTTCAATAATGTGCAATTTTTTTGCAAATGTGATCATTTAATCACTGAACTATTTGTGTAACTTTTTAAACAGGTTGCCAAAATATGGAAGAAGGGTTGATGATCTGGGTGAAGACACAGATGACAAAATTTTTCCTAGGTAGACTGCAAAACGTCTTAAATTCTAATGATCATTACAACAGCAGACAGCAATAATGGCAGAGATCTAGGTAAGAAAATGATTGCTCAATGCAGATAAAAGTTTATAATATTATTTTTGAGAAATGTCTATCTTTTCTACTGATGTTTTTATGCTTATGATACCCAGCCTAAAATAGCTACCAAAAAAAAATGTCCACAGACAGCTTTCCAAGTACCTTCATACTATCTGACCTCTAATGCTAAATTTCTAATGGTTTCCATGCTATGTTCTTTGTTTTGGAAAGTAAAAGGTAATATTCTTGAGGCTGGCATCATAGCTACTGAAAACAAATAAAAATACACCTCCCTCCCCCACCCTTAGACAGATTAATAGAAAATAAATGTAGATAAATATCATTATTCTATTTAGGATTGTTGTACCTAAAACTGGACAATCAACCTAAGCACTGAAGTCCAAACTGTACCTTCTAAAATATGATCAAATACATCACATTTTTGTTCCTATCAGCTTCTGCTTTTGGATCTCAAATGATTATATTATTTTTCCACAATCAGAGACACATTTTCCTATTTAGCACACTTGATCTGGACCACAGAAATGCCTTTCAATGTGACTCTAAACAAGAGTAACATTTCAAGTCTCTCCGTGGTTCAGTCTAAAAAAAGTCTAAATTTGGCTCTCTGCTTTCTTTGCCAAGCTCATTCAGCAGAAATGAAAAGTTTTTTCGGTTTTTGGGTTTTTTTTGATTGAAAAAATATAGCAATCATTGTCAGTTTAAGAACAAAATGTAGACTATTACTTTTCTAGCTGGACCTTTCTAACTTTTGTAGCTTAAGTCCATAAAAATACCCCCTCATATGTAAAAAAATCATTCAGTTTGTTCTCTTCTCACAGGCATATTGATCTTCAACATTTTTCTTACTTTTGCATGGCAGTTTTATGACTCACAAGGCTTATCAAGACCTTAAAGAACTTCCATTGATTTTGATTCTGTCTTCCAGATGTCAAAGGTATCTCAAAACAAATGGCACAGTTTCAAAAGCCCTACTCTGTCATAATTCTGAACATAACCTTACACAACTTATGCCTTTCTGTCTCAACTAATCAATAATTTTAAAGTTCCTAAAGCCCAGATTTTTGGATTTAAAATTTTGGTTAATACCTCCACTATACTACCCACATGAATTCCCTCTAAATTAGCACAGAATTTGTGTCCATCATCCACTGACACCATTGAACCTTTTTTTTTTTTTTTAAATGAAGTTAGGATTCAGCAATTCGGACTCAAACTTTCAACTGGTCTCCATTTCCATAAATGGCCAAATCTACATATCATGCCTATATATTTAATAGCTTGAATCCAAGTGTTAAGGTTTATATTGATTTCAAATATTAAAATACAGCACAGAACAGAAGATGAATACATAAGCCAGCACTGATCTGAAGAAGTACCTGATAGAGCCATACCTATCAGCCATGGTGGCAAAAAGGACAATGTAATTAGAAAATTTCAAAATGAATCAAGATAACATGAGATTATAAATCAGTGAGCCATAGCATAAATTCCTTCTATTTAAGAAGGGAAACAGTCTGATTGCTAACATTAATAACTAACTAACACCGAGATATAAAAATAAAAGAAATAAAAGAGTCACATGGTAGTTCAAAAACTACAAAAATATGAAAGATAACTAAAAGGGAAAGGAAGAAACAAGACGCAAAACCCAGCAAAGTATTAAAAATATGAACTGGGTTTATTAGCTAAGATGAAAATATACTGGAATACACAAGCTATACATGAAGATGCAGTGCATATTAGATGAAAAGGAATCTTCACAAAGATTACTTTGGTTTTGAAACACTTTAGTTTTTCCATTCAGCAATGCAGGTATGTTTAATAGGGCAAATACAGAATTTGGGCCCTATTTTCACAATAGTTAGGAGTTAATATACCTAGGGAACGTACAACATTGTAATCAACATCAGCCTTACTTCAAGGGAACAAAATATAAGAAAAATGTATTTTCAGACTGAAATGTTTGGGAGGCAGGGAATGAAATCATCAGCCCTAACAATGCACTTTGGGCTCACTTTGGGGAAAGAAAAAACATTTTAAATTTTTTTAAACTTAGCACTTTGCCTTCTCCCCCATTAAATGATGTAAATCAAAAAGAATCAAGTAGGGTTTTTTTAGCAAATTTCAGTTTTAAACTAAAGACTGACAACCTCTCAGCTAGGTTTATTTTCTGTTTGCCTGGCATTTCAGTGTATTT